TAAGCACCTCGCTGTGTAACACAGACCTAGAGGATCAGTGGGGTGGGGGTAGTAGAATAATTCTGGAATATTTGAGTGACAGCATTCAGGGGGCACCAGGATTTGAACCCAGGACCTCTTAGCCTATAGCCCAAAATTAGATGGCAGAGCAATTCAATAGGATCCGTCGACTGTCAGCCTCCGGCACTTTCAAATGGACGGGTAACATCACAGAAATCCCACGGGAATGTCCCCAGGAAGTACCATGGCCAGAGAGCAAAAGTGAAACCACCACTTGGGAAATCACCAAAGACCCCTCCTACTTAATGTCAACATGTCAAGAAAATCTGTGGTATTGGGTGAGATTGAATAGGACAGAGTACCAGCACTGTAATTCAAATTAAAAGAGGAGGGACCTAGGAATTATGATGGACTAACGCCTTTCTATGTAGTGTATTGCCATCTTCAGGCAATCCATAAATAAACGCTGACACAGGGCTCTGCTAAACAGCCAAGAAGATAAACACAAAATTAACAACTAAAATCTTTGCTCGGGTCTTAATTGTCCACAGGCAAAATAATAATATTTTTTTTATCTAAATGTATAAACATAGAAATATGAATACGTTGATGTGCAGTAAATGTTCATTAATATATGCATCTCCCAACTCCTATCCTGGAGCTGCTGGGCAGCACGGCAAAAGGCCGGGGTACACTGCAGTACAATCAGGGCACACGGCCAGGGAACACCCCCGTACACTGTGGTATACTCTGGACACATGGCCGGGGTACAATCCGGTACACTCAGGGCACACGGTCAGGGTGCACTGTGGTACACTAAGGGCACATGGCTGAAGTTCACCCCAGTACACTCAGGGCACATGGGCGGGGTACAATCCGGTACATTCAGGGCACAAAGGTCAGGGTGCATTGTGGTACACTCAGGGCACAAGGTCGGGGTACACTGTGGTACACTCAGGGCACAAGGTCGGGTACACTGTGGTACACTAAGGGCACATGGCTGAAGTTCACCCCAGTACACTCAGGGCACACAGCTGGGGTACATTCCGGTACACTGCAGTATACTCAGGGCATGCGGCCAGGGTACACCCCGCGTGAGACCACAGTGTAAGTAAAGAGGGGGGGTGGATCTATATCAATGTACTTGGTTATTGGTTTCTAGGTTAATTTTCTGTTCTCGGGTTTTGTGATGCATGTTGTTTAATCTTTCGTAACCAAGAGAGCTCGAACAAATGAAGCAAAACAGTTTTACTTTAACTAAAACTACTTATTATGCAATGATTTCACTCTTGATAAATTGCAGCTGTCTTGTGTAAGAAAAGCACAAAAGGGTTTCTGATATTACAAGGACCCTAGATGATTTATTTAACATGAAGGTTAAAGTCTGAAAATAATTTCTTAAAATGTTCCACTAAGTAGTAGCAGCATGTACCGTTACAAAAATGCAAAATGACAGTAATAAGTTGTAAGAAACACTTGCAGACATTACCTATAGCTGTGAAAAATCTATACATGGAAATGTCATTGTGTAAATTACATTTATTGGGAGAAACTGAAATCAGAGCATTTGGGGTAACAAACAGCAGCTGGAATTACAAGTATTTAGCATGACATTCAAGAAAACTGATTTGTTATACTGACATATGGTCATACACAATTAAAAATCACACAAAAAATTTAAGTATCATATTATGGTGACTGACAATGCATGGAAGTGTGTATTTCATTTAATATTGATCATTTCTGGATGAGTTTTCCCACAACTAACCACCAACACACTTCTGGTAGGTGATGA